CCCCCCCCAATACATAGATGAGAAGGTGCTCTTGGAAGAGAGTATCCTGGACAGCGATGAGGAAATCAACAAAGGAACTTATCAGGCCATCCCACATGTATGCTTGGTTTTGTCATAGCCCCTTTGTGCATGCATGCACAGTATAATGCGTGTAATATACATGAAAACGTCGGTCAGGATTCCAAGCGGGCTGTTAAAGCGGAGCCGAAGCATCATGCAAAGGTCCAGGAACGTGCTTTGCAGACAGTGAAAGAAATTAATGAGAAACAATTTGCAGAGGGAAAAGCAGAGATTTTGAAGGCGTGCATTTAAGAATTCAAGACCTGCGCATGTGCATATTTCAAACAAATCGATGCATGTGTTTGCGTAAATACAAATTATACTGGAGATTACTGTTGAATACGAGGCACAAAAAAAAATGCGGAAAGCTCTGAGGGAAGAGGCTGCAGAAGTAGAGGATGAGGACAGGTTTTTGCGGGAGGAGGCAGAAGCCTCTGAAGAAGAAAAGGAAAGGAAGAAAACAAAGGGAAGGGGAAGGGGAAGGGGAAGGGGACGAGGTGTGAGCAAGGATGACCAACCAGTCGGGCGTGGGCGTGCAAGTGGGCGGGGAAGATCTAAAAAAACACACGATCCGGCCGAACAAGGTATGGGGGACCTAGCTGAGACAGGTGAAGGGGTAAGCAAGACCAAGGAAGGTGAGGCAGTAGAACGTGAACATCCGTGCAAAAGGAGTCCCTTGGTGAAAAGTCTGATGAAGCGAGCCGCCAGTAAGCAAGATGTACTGTCTGAGGGCGATCAGGTCAAATCCACAAAACGCAGGCCCAGGCGTGACCCTGTCAGGAAGGACTTGGATGCATCTTTCCAAGCCGTCCAAAGCGACCATGATGGTAATGGGGATCAGGGAATGACAACTGAGGGTAAGCCAAAGGACAAAGAGGTTGAGGAGGAAAATGGAGGGGATGGCAAGGAGGTGCCAAAAGAGGTTGAGGAAGGAAATGAAGGGGATGGCGAGGGGGCGCCAAAAGAGGTTGAGAAGGGAAATGGAGGGGATGGCGAGGAGGCGCCAAAAAAAAGGGCTCGATACAGCAACATTGGAAGAAATGTGCTGGTCTTGGGCTTAGCGAAAAATACTACAATATATGAGATATATGCACTGTCGAAGTTTGCTGATTCAACATGCATGCATATGCATGTTTGATGACTCAGCATTGCCTAGTTTGATACATCTGCTACTACTACGCTACCTTTGTGCTGCCTTAGGAAGCCACTCTTGAGGAGGTCCGAAACGTGATCAAGAACGACCCTAACCCGGCAGTTCACTCCTTGTTGGATCAGCAGTGGACCGGCATGAAGCGCAGTCCTTGGGAACAAGCGCAAGTGTGATTCAAAAATCTAGATAGACAGAGATTTTGGGAAATTTGGACTTGGATGAAAACACATTCGATACTATATTTATTGGCCGTCTAGCTTGACAAAGGTCAGTAACATATCGACGTCCAGAAGGTCTTCCGGAGTTCAAGGCTGTTGGTGAAAGCTCTGCACTGCAAGTCTTGTCGAAGCCTTACCAACCAAATCCTAGACCAAACCACTTGCACACTGGATAGCATTATTGATTTTTTGTGGGATATACTTCAATCAAGGCTTGCAGCCCGCTCCTTCTACATCTTCCCTGTTCCACCGGGGCGTGTGGAATCCATCAACCTGAGATACAACATGATTCTGAAGGCCTTTAAAAGATGTACAGTAGAGCTCGGTAGAGATGCATGCAAACATGCCTTCTGCAATGCAACATTCCCCGCATGAATGTGATAGGTCAAAGCATCCCTTTGGCCAGG